GCTGAAAACATACCTTTGAATTATAATTAGATTTATATTTCAAAGGAGGAGTTATTTTTAGAATCTTGTCCCTCTTCCACTTCCATATTAGGAAGCATTAAATGATTTTCCATAATGCGTAGAGTTACAAAGGTATGTACGACTGGAACCTAATTACATCATTCTCTGTAGTATTTAATGCGGGACCGATGGATTTCGCATGTCTCTTGCTGAATAACGTGTTCCAAAATACATCGGCCGGAACAATCTGGAGATTTGTCCACACTCCCTCCCTTGTGGAGTGGGGATGTGAACTGTTATAACCACCAGCCTAACTTTAAATAAACATTTTTATTACATATTATGACTTTTGACTGCATTATTAAAGATGAATACAACAATGATAACACGGATGTAGTCCTGTTATTATCTCGTATATATATATATATATATATTGCTATATTTCCCTATCCACAATTGATAAAACAATTCTATTATTTTTTCAATAAAGTCTTTGTCTCTTATGACTAATACGTACACTATTTAATTCATTTTTAACAAAATTTGATTATACATAATAAAGACAATGATTTGAAAACACCCACTATATTGCAGGTACGTTAATTCCATCATCGTTGAAACGTGATCCTTGAGTTTTAGATGCAAACATAAAATATTTTATTTATTTATTTATTGCAATTCATTTGTTAGTATAAAGAGATTATTATACTCAAATGAAAATGAGATTAAAAATAAAGATGGAAAAAAATCCTACTTACCATTGAGAGTCTTGAACCTTTTTTGGCAGGATGGTAGAAAAGGATATTCTATAATTATCAAGTTCGGCATGATGAACACTTTACTATTGGATTTATAATTATTTTTTTAATCGATTGCTTTTAAAAACAAATTTCATCTTCCAATATCAGTGGATTTTAATTATCACAAAAACAACAATTGATCATGATGTTATACAATAACAGTATAGATGTCATTAAAACACATGCCAAAAACTCACTTCCAAGATTTTTTCTTGGAATAAGCAATTCGTATAATCAAAATATTTTTTTTGTTAAATGCTTGAAGTAAGTGATTTATGAAGGCAATGTTCTAAAGATATTTTTATGTCTGTTTACACTTTATGCGGTTGTAAATAACTAACATTCTCTCAGATAGGTAAAAAGCTCATTCGAATCTTCCTACATTTTGAGTTTTTGTTTTATTTCATTTGCGGTTACTCTTTCCTGAATAGGCTTGTATGCTCATAAGGAGCTGCCCTGCAAGCAAACGCTCGGTAGCGGATTCGAAACCGTCGTAACCTTGGATGCATCTTCGAGCTGTCCTTATCTGAATTACACTATCTGTTTTTCTACTTCACTTATGCTTATAAGCTGCACTTATGTGATTGAGTACACAGGCCTGCATGTATGTGTACCAATAAATAAATAAGTATGCTCATAAGTACGGTTTATAAATCCTTGTTAAGCTGAAGAACAAATTAGCACTTGTTAAGGACATTACAAAAATACACTTGCGGTTGCGTTCGGATTCGAACCCGCTTCCTCTAGAACGACTTAAAGTGAGACCGTTAGGGCAGGAAAGTTTACAAGCTTTTGTTTTCTGCAGCGTTTTGATGGGATTTTTTTTTATATTCATTACTCTTACGTTTGCTTTAACCTATGTTTATGTCTTCGTATATGTAGTGATTTAAAGGTTGGAAAAGATTAAAAACAGTATTAATTAAAAGAATAAACTTGAATTTTACGGTAGTTAAAGTTGCGCTTAGGTAATGTTAATTTGGGGGAAGCATAAGTATTTTTGTGTTTGAAAAGAACCTTTTTAAAGTGTAACTTCCTGGCAAGGATGGTCATATATTCATCCTTAGAAGATATTAAAGTCTCGCAGTGGACTGATCGTTAAGACACGGTTCCCAGCAGATCACCGAAGTAAAGCATCACTGGCTACGGTCAGTGTGCGGGTGGGTGACCACTTGGATCAGTCTGCGTAGGGACCGAGGGTGTGCGGTATTGGTCCTCGTTAAACTGTGCTACCGTAAAGTGCTCGACTTCGCG